AAACCTTTAGAAAGAACGAGTTTTTCGGCTTCAGTTAATGATTTATTAGATAAATTTATAATTGTTTTGTCCAGAAATTGTTTATTTTTTATACTAAAAATGTCTATTTTTATTTTTTCGTTGAGTAATTTTTCTAGTTTATAGTTATGAATTTGTTTTTGAATAATAAATTTTCTTTCATAGGTTTTATTAACGGTATTACATATATGATTAAAGTCGTCAAAAGAGATTTTGTATCGTAAGTCTTGTTTTATGTCATGTATTTCGTTTTTGAGTTTGATTTTATTTAATCTGTGATATTGAATTCTTTCTCTAACTAAAGCTTTACTTGCTCTGTTTAAGATTTTTGTTACTCGTGTATTGGAGATTTAAGTCGTAAGCCTTTTGGAATAATGTTATTGTTTTTACATTTATGTAAAAATGTTAAACTGTTTTCAGAGTGTTGAAGTTTTATGTATTTGGATTCTAGATATCGAAAAATAATATTTTAATAATAATAATTATTTATCAATCTGTAATAGAAGACGTGAGAAAATTCCGTCTTTTTTAAAGACAAAAAAAAACAATATAGAACTTATCTACAATCTAATTTGTAGTTTCTTACCCGAACTGAAATAGGAGAATTTTGCGCAACTGCAGTTTGCGGCAAAACTGGAGCGATAACCGCTCCAATCTTGATCGGTATTCTCACTCCCTCGTGGAGAATTTGCACTTCAGATGGGAAAAGCACTTCACTCTCCGTTCGCCCTACTATGATGGGTTTTTCCAGAACCATTCTTACAGCTGGAGTGCACTGGATCGATTGGTTCTCATTTAATTTGATGGTCATTAAGGGTTGATTTTGGGATATGGAAGTGATCTGACCATTCGATATCATGTTCATGTTGTCTTTTGGTACGATGAATAAGGGAACGACCGAAAATCTGCAAGAAAATCGGTTGGCTTCAAGTTGTTCGTACAGCGTGGAATATTTTATTGTTCATCGAATTTTATTGGCCATTTTTAAATACATTTTATTCAAGTTAGCACGTTGACCAAAAAAGTACTTAATAGTCTTCACACATTTAGCTGTCGTAAAAACCATCACACCTAAACATACAAATACTGTGTTTCTCAAAAAACCGTTATGATTTGTTTTTCCTCTGTTATACTTACTGTTTAGATATGGAATACGGTAATTCTGCCATAATATTCAATGTAGGCTGCTCGGGTCTGGGCTGGATATTCGAATCTCTGTTGTTTCCATAATCCTGGACGTATTCGTTAATGTAACCGGGCATGTAGGGATTGTAGGGAAGAATTCGAGGCTCATAATTCAACTCGGTATAAACTCCTGAAGCAGGATATGCTAAGGGATAGAGATATTCAAAAGGGTTCTGCAACGGATAACCCCAAGTGGGAGCTAGCGCTATAAGGAACCATATCTGGAAAAAAATTATATATCTTTAAATTTATGAATGGGAATGAATTGAGCTAAAGCTTTAAAGTATAAGGTAGAAAGTCGATTTTTGTTGCAAATTTCCTAAACTTACAACAATATTTGATTGTTATCGCCCCAAAAACATTTTTCATGCAATTAATTAATAATTAATCAATGAAGAGAGTTATTAGTGTAATTGAGACAAAAACCCATAAAGCTATAAAAACTTTTTTTTATGAAATGTCCAAAGTCTACTTCTGCGTTTTAAAGACACATTCGCCTGATAAATCCAGCAGGATTAAAAATTCAGAAAATTATATTTACTGCATTTCCAGCGCTAAAAATAATGGAAATTTAACTAAATTCTTAAGTTCTAAACTTCAAGAACTGTACTGAAGCACTGATAAAATCTAGCTCGAAATAGGCTTTAGAATATCTGCTGAAATTTATGTTAAACTATAAATCCGACCTAAGAAAGGTATTTTTTCACAGTTTTCATACTTTTACATAAAATTTGCCTGTTATAATTACATTTTTATTTGATGTTTGTGTTAAATGAACAAAAATGCAATTTTACGTCTCGGCGTTTTGCCTTTTTCTCCAAAAGTGATTTGTAATTTTAATTCATGCTTTTATTTAATCCCGAGGAAGCAAATTCACTTTCTAATATGAATATTAACTACTTTTTAAAAAGCATTTGCATGGATTATACAAAAACATTGAAGATAAAAATACATATATTATACTAAATTACATAAAAAAATTAAAAAGCAAATGGTGTTAATAGGGAGATCTGAATAAATAGGAATCAGCATAGTAAAACGCAGTAAAAGTTATGAACCATTAATGTGTAAAAGCCATAAAAAGTGAGCAAAATATCGTGAATGAACATTTGTCATTACATTCGGCTACAGCGAGCATTTGTATCGTTTTAAAAGCTTTTAACTTCATTATAATATTTACTATAAAATATGTATTTATGCGCACTGTATTCCTGATCTGTGTCGCATAAATTACAAAAGTAACTGTGTGGAGAAATTTACATATTACAATGTCCCATATCACAGACTGAGCCGAAAAACCGGCATCTATAGATTGCTAGATATAATAGATTTTTGATTATATAGTAAGTAACTTTAAACAAAGTCTCACTCAAATATTTATCAAATAATTTCATTTTGTCGCAAATAGGATTTTTGTCCATTTTCGATACGCCACCAAAAGTGGCGACCAATTTATTTTCCTTTATTGTCTTGTTCAACTCACATATGACTTTTTTCTATTTCATTCTTTCATTCATTCACATTTAAAACATTTGCAACCATTCTAAATTATATTGATTTTTTTTCGGTTTAAGCTCTGCTACACCCTGGAGACATAAAACGATTACTTTCGTTGCATTCGTAACTTATCAAGCAATTAGTAAATGTTGAAAATAATGTGCTTTAAACGACAATCCACAGATAAAACGTGCATAATGGTTTTTTTAAATTTATCGGCCAATATACTTTACCACGTTTTTTATCAAGGACTGAAACCGTTTAAGGTAACACCTTTCCAATTATCTCTTTAATATTTAGCAGTTATCAGGCATCGAAAGATCTCTGTCGGCTCATGTCAAAAATAATCACTGCATTGCATTCCTTTGGAAACCCCGACATTTTTACGACCTTCTTCTTAAAGTGGAAGGTAAGTGGATTTGTCATATCTAAAGGCCATTTCTTCCAGACGTTTTGCAGAAACGTACTTACATCTTCAGAGCGTCGGAGCGCGAAGGCTGATTGGAAACAAAATGCGCTTTATATAATACGGTAACATCATAAATGAAACGAGTTTAACTGTCTTTACCTGATGGTGGTTTAATAAACCGAAAAAGTCTCGCACGCTAAGTGACCAACTGATATCCGAAAACAAAACTGTTACTTAGCAGCATTTGCATAAATGTCTGCATAATGGCGATACTGTAAATAAGAAGAGTGTCCAGTTTAACTCACCAAATTCGGACAGTGAAGACAAATTGGCTAATTAGCGACCAGCCCATTCATAAGCTAATAAATGATGTTTATTAACAACACTCATTTAATGTTGTTTTTATGTTCGGTTAATGCTAAATCTTGAATACATTTTGGGTACACTGACCTGACCTCTGCAGTTTTGCCGGAATATCATTTTTATGCATTGAGAATGGGCAATTAAATGGGTACATAATATATGGTACAATGAATAACTTCGTGTAAGATTGACGTCAGATGGACGTGATATACATTCATTGCCACTCCTGATGGTGCCAATTCAATTTGTAAGTATTTCAGGTGATATTTTTTATTCTCAAAATTCCTATATAAATTATTTTTAAAATATCTACTATATACTCAATTATATGCTTTGTTTTGTTGTGTCTCAATTTGTTAACTGTAGAACTAAAATTTGCCAGCAAATGTGTTAGAAAAAACCAGCAGACAACATTTTTTTCAGCAGCTTCAATTTTTGAGATTTTAATATTTGATATAATTCACGGTTTTTTAAACAGTTCAAAAAATTGCCTGTTTGGTCTGCCTGCAGGTTTGGGCATTTTCCATGTACATTTTGTGAGCTCACCCAATGTCTTTCTTCTTAAAATATAGCAATTTGCTTGGTTTCTGTCCTCTTTTTTATATAAAAAATTATCTCGAGCATAATGATTTATCAATTAAAATATATTAGTTTTTCAAATATCAAGCAAATATTTCCCGGTGCTTTTGTTTTGATTTTTAATGGTTCAGAAAAGTATTTCTAGAAAATCTCAGTTCTACGTACGCAAAAAAAATAAAAATGAAAAATTGAGAAACTCCAAAAAATTACTGGAAAAACTGCCCAAAAATAATAAAAAACGAATTCAAGCGTGAGGCCTCACGCGGACAATTGCAAAAAATATAAACATAATTTTTTTAAATTTTTGCTCACATTAAAAATACTCTTCATCCTTAATCAACAAACAAAACACAATAATATAATTGAACAAATTTATCGAATTATCAATCTTACCATTCGTGTCATATTAGCAATTTTTCGGCGGGTCCTACACGAGTACGCGACACTCACAATTACCAAACGAACTGAAGAAGATGGTCACTAGTTCTGAGGATTTATACCGAAAGATTTAAACGGCCAAGGCAAAAGTGATCAGTGGGATCAAAAAGAACTTTGCTTGATCCGGGTTGTTTCATTCGGAGGCAAAGATCCATTAACAACATTAATTTAATCCGTTAAAGTATTTTCTTCGATATGATGTCTCCTGGATCAATTAAATTGGTATGTTTGAGGCTGAAGATTGAGGCTTATCTGATGCATTTGTTGCAATCATTTCTGCTTAATTTTATATGGTTTTTTCATAGGAATAATGTCATAAATGATAATGTATTAAAAATAGCAAAGCTGAGGCAGATAAAGGCATTCTAATTAGAAATAAAATAATAATAATAGAAAACTAACCGGATATATCTTTTTAATTTTTAGTCTCAAATACCATTGAGCTGATTTACTTATGCTGATTGAATTCGGACGCATTTTAAATAAATAATTAATAACATTTTATGCACACCTAAACGACAAGTTATTGTAAGAAATGAACACCAAGAATAACAGTTTTCGAGTAACCATTAGCTAAATTCTAGGCGGCTTCGAGCATTATAATTATGACAAAATAATTCATATCTCTAAATAGGTGAGAGACAGGTATGAAGAATGCTCACGAAACTTATAATAAATAAGATAAAATATAGGGTGTCTCAATTAAAATTCACAGTATTCAGAATTCACTAATTTCTTGAGGATCAAACTTTTTTGATAACGTTTTCTGCAATCGAGCTACAGAATAAATACATAACATAGACTAACTCTGTCTAATTCTTATGCAGACTTGGCGCTAGATATATATTTTTTTTTTGATTGATTGCGTTTTTAAGCATTTGCTTTTCTATTTTGGCAGTTCCATATAAACTTATCGAATGCACAAAACAGCGCTCAAATAAAGCGATTTTTTCTTTCCTGTAATGATTAGCGGTAATTTGATTTGCATGTTTTTTAACAGTTTAAATTCCATTCGCCGCAATAATTTAGCTCAGTTAAAAGTATAATTAGTTACTTTTGGCAACGGGCCGAAAAATGTTTTACAATTTCTCGTCTTCTTCGCTAAAGTAAGAGCGGATAACAGCGTAATTTCCCGTGCGCTTTTATTGAGAAAAATTGAGTTGAAATATTTTGAGAATTAAATATTTCGGTTATTAGAAGCGTTCAAGTACTTACTGGAGAATTTGCATCTTTTACAAGAGCAGTAGGTACATCTATTGTTACTGTTAAACATAGCCATTTTATTCGAACACAAAATTCAAAACTCCTTGGTTTAATTCTATATATATAAATAATCTTTATTTCCTACAGAAAAAGGCAATCGGTTTTTCTGCCCATTTTTTAATTCTAATTTTGTGTTTTTTCGCATTTAATTTCATCTTTTTCAGTACAAATGTATTAAAAATAAACGGCACATTTCACAGTTTTTAATTTTTAGATTGAAACCGTTTGAATTGTCAATTTCAAATTATCCGCTGGACAATGTGATGAATGGCTTAATGAGATTTGTAGCTTCTCTTTAAATCATCTGGTTAAATTATATTTTAACATTTATATCTATCTACTATAGGAAACATAGTTTTCATTTTATCTAAAGTTCCGCATTAAGCCCGTTATTTCCTTTATATTCGGATAAAACTAATTTTCGGTTAACATAGATGCTGATGAAAATATATATGAAAGAACAGTATTTATTTTAAATTTAAACACGGATACAAATCAATTTTAATGATTTAATTTACTATTTTTACCAAAACTGTTTTTAATTTGATTTCAATAACTTTGTTATTAACCATTGTATATACTTTCCTGACTGTGTTTCAATTCCAAATCATTCATCAGTCATTTATTGTCTCTATTTATCAATTAAAATACGTTTCGGTGTTTTCCACCATCATCAGTTTTTATGTGTCGCGTTGTTGCTACTTTAAGCCTTGGCATATATTCCTTGTAAAATATATGCCAAGGCTTAAAGTAGCAACAACGCTACACATAAAAACTGATGATGGTGGAAAACACCGAAACGTATTTTAATTGATAAATAGAGACAATAAATGACTGAAACCCAGGAATTGATTTTGATTTGGAATTTGTTATTAACACCATATGCTGACACATAGATTTATTTATGTAGAAAAATTATGTTTTTTCAAATATTCATATTTAATGGCTAACGTTCGCCCGCTTGTATTTAAAGTTGCCTATAGTCAGACGGAAATCCATGGCTTTAAATGGAAGTAGGTAATATTGATTACTTCAAGCAGTTCAAGTAGATGCAGGTTGGACGGTAGGCTTATTCTGTTTAGTTCGGTATTCCTAACCTAAAATATTTTTGTTTAAACAATTTTCAAAAGTTTATGTGTATTTGAGTTGATTTATGTTGCTGTTTGTTAAGTGCTGCGCTTCTTTGACTGTTCCTTAATTCTATACTATGCTAGTAACCAGGACCTTGCGAGATTGCTTTTCCATTGCTGTAAGTAGTTTGGTTTTTCACTTTCATTCTCTTATTATTATTTTTTTAATTTACTAAGTGCCAAGTGAATGTATCGATTTAAACTGCACTCAATCGCTACGTGCTTGTCTGCGGCTTATTTGCCATTGCGTGTGTGAAAAGTCATTGAAATTACTTCCATATGATCAACTCTAAAAATACCGAAACAGAACACCGGATGGCTTACCTTAAGTTAAGTCATACAGGGTGGCCCGGTCTAAGAAAACAGTTTTATTTAAGTTGGTCTAATCGAGACTGGGTACTTTGGGTAGAAAAAGTGCTATTTTTTATGAATTTTCTTCAGACTTTTACTAATACTATTTTGGCAACGTTCTAACATATGGTACCGTTGTTGATTTTATCAGATTTTCCAAATTTTTGCTCAATTTTTTATTAAAATTTAATTCAATGTCATAGACATTGACGGCTGTCTACATGAAACGTCTACGCTTGCTTACTATGGTGACATTGACATTAGTGTTTAATTTACTAGTCAGTGTCACTAATTAGACAAATGTAGCAAATGACATCGGTCAGTTTATCGGCAATTGAGCTCGGTTTTCGTCAAAAATAAGCCTGAAAAAAACCTCTCATTTTTCAACCTCAACATTTTAAACACCTCTGATGTCTGATCATGTCGATGCTGCACTAAGTACTAAAAATCAATAATTTACGTGCACACAAAACAGATTTGGCAAATGCGCGTAATTTTTCGAGCTGCGTCTCACTGACGTCGGTGTTTTTTATTTTCTCATGGAAAGTAGTAAATTTTAATAAGTGAAGTGATAGAAAATCGCCCCTAGAAGAATCGTTAGTCAAAGGATTATCAACTCTGAACGCGAAAGGGGTGGAAATTAGAAAATGATCCAAATGACTACAGAACTGGAAAAGAAGTGAGCATTTGCGTGATAAACTTGATTTTGGAATATATCAAATTTTAGCGAGCCTTCCTTAAACGTACACGCTTATCTTTTTTGCAATTTTGCTAGGTTGGTTTCTAAAACTGGAAAATCTATTTGATAAATTTAATCATTTAAGTCATAAATAATTAATCTTAATTTAGCAATTAGCAGGAGCTCGACTCCAAATTAAAATTGAATTGGAATACCTATCCCTCGTCGAATGAACTTGCTAAGGTGTCGAATAGTGCAAATAATAAGTAGATATATATAATAATATATAGATAAGTAGATATGTATAATAATAAGTAGATATGTATGATATGTAGATTTTTAACTTCTATTTCTATAATTTAAATGAATTATGAATATTCGAAGAAATACATTCGATACAGTTTCCAATGCTGATGACTCTTCGTATTTCTATTATGGTAAAGTACAAAAATAATTACCATCAACAATTACAGCACTATGTTGAGCAGGAGGCATTTCTTGTAAACTATTGATGTAAACACTGACACTCATTCGGTTCATATCAGAATTTATTGAGCGTTTACTCTACAAATACTCTCAGGAAATCGTTCTTATCAAAAGCCATTTGGGGATTTAACTGGAACCATTAATCACTAAATGGAATTAAAAAAATTGTATTATCTATAACATTCAAACATAATGCAATAAGACGTTTGATGTAACAAACAATTCAGTCATGTTTAATGTTTGAAACAATCTGCTAGTGATTCAGTATGGTCGTTAATACCATTTCGTATAAGTTTGGAATTGTTCTTGAAAACTCAGGAGTAAGTTTCAATTACCTATACAAATAATTTTTTAAGGATTGTGGAACTTGTTATTTTTTTTACTTTTGTCTTTTTACCCAATGTTTTTTCAAAAAATCGACCTCTACCCCGTATGAAATATTTGCAGTTGAAATTATAGTGAAAACATGCAAATAATAGTAGAAAACATATCGCAAAAAGTAAGAAAGCACCGTAACCGTCATTGTAAAACATAAAAATGAATTAACGAGGTGGACAAGTGTATGGTTTTACATTAGCAAACAAGTTTGCAGATTTATGCAAACAGACTTTCAAGCAAATTTTATGGCCAAGGAAAAATGGGTTCTCAGTCAGTGACCAATTTACTTTTTATCATTGGCGTAGTCAGTTTAGGTATCAACTAGCATTAAAGATTCAGCTGTATTATAATACAGCAGTTGAAAGAAGTAGGTTCTTATCAACAAACCATCTCAAACAGGGCCTCTTTTGTAACAAGATGCAATACATGTAGTTTAATGCTATTATGTATGAGCATATTTAGATCATTTTATAAGTGTTTACTTGTGAATATTTATCGTTATCAATCTAGAAGGCAATTGAAAGAAATGGATGATAAGGCGCTTTGCTGGCGGTTTTAAGTGGTGTAGATGAGTCATACATAGTGACTTCAACCATGAGAAACGCGATGAATTTTTAACGAAGTAGTTTTAATTGATTTGCAACATTAACGAAATACTTGGCGTTTGGCTTTGGGGAATTGGACAAGCAGTGAGCCAAATAAAAAATCTCTAAATCTCTACTTGAGAGCATAGAAAATAAATGATCAACAGTTAAGCGAAGAAGGAATTAGATTAATTTCAGAAGTAAATCGGATGATATTTTTTCGCTGGTAATAATTTTCAACGTGAGACGCATTTAGTGATCGGTTTGGCATCTTCAAAGGATTAGGCAGACACAAATATGGAACCGTGATCTCAACTAATGAAGAATGTATTGTTTTTGCGGTCGTTGATTAATCAGTCTATTAAAGTCAAGTTGATTAAGATCTTTTTGTCCTGAAATTGTCCAAATCACACCATGCTTTATTCGGTAACATCAAAGCATTTTTAAAAGTTTAGTTGAGCAGATACCTAATGATCCATTTTGTTTCAATTAGCTGATTATTTTTATCTGTTGCGTTACATATTCGGCTGAACCTCAAAATTGATCAAATCTGACAATCAATATACCTACAACTGAAATGTTTGCATAAATTACTAAATTGGTTTCCCACAATTATTCTTCTAAAGTTTTTTGCTTTTATTATGCAAAATAGTTGCACAAATTGAACCTATTCCATCCTACTGTTCAATTGCGATTACGTGTTGTTGCCCACTATCGACTATCATCCGATTTCTCTTCAATTCAAGCTCCATCTGTTGCAGATCGTTCTTCGCCGAAAATTCGAATATCTGTGTGTGTGTGTCTCCTTTTTAAACCGTGTCCCACGTAGGCGCGGAACTAGTTAGAGGCTAACAATAAATAATTATTATATTTACAGCCAGTCCTATTAACGCGGCACTTGGTCTTTTTTTGAAGTGACGTGTATTTATTAATAAAGAACAGTTTGGTGTAACGTTTTGACATGGTTGGTTAAGTGTAAGTTGGAGCTGGACTGACCAGCTGAGTGCCCATCAACAGTGCAAAGTTTGTGTGAAGTTCGGTCAAGAAACTATGCAATTGATTTTAAAAGTTTAATGAATTGGAATATTCGAAGGTTTTTCAAAAGTTACATGCATTTGAATAAAATATTGAATGCGATTGCTAAAATTCTAACACAATGTAGACTTTTGTGGCAAACACTAGCAGGATTTGCAAATCATCAGCATTCCTAGGATTTAGTTTTCATATCGAATCGCTGTATACTCAAATTGAACCTGATACCTCTTTGCAAGTTAATACGTTATTGGCATTGTCAGGTATCATAAATACCTGCAACTGCACGGTTTTCAATTGGAATGAGGAAATTTAGAATTTTTTTCAACCGGTGTTATAAAAGTTAGGTAATCGACACCATGCGTTAACCATTTAAATTTCAAGTTATTCCCTTTCTTTTTTTAATTAAAACTATAAATGTTTTTATCTAAACTAAATAGTTTGACGATTTCGAGCCAGTACGAATAAAACATGTTTTCAGTACTTAATAAAAGCCTAACAGCTATAGAATAGAATCGACAATTACTCTGTTAATCAAAAGCAAACTAAGACATGACTGAAAAGCTCCATTGTTAAATTAGCCACTCCTTAGCTTGTTTGAATTCGCCATATTTGCCCAATTATTATTGATACTATCATTATCATCGATTCACCCGGTCATCTAAAATCAGATTTATATAATTTACATGCTTTGGTGCATCCATGTTTATTCATTTTGTTTATTAATTAGGTTTTGGTTTAACTAAAGACATTTAGAGAGGCAGAAAGCATTAAAATGAAATGTAATTGCAAAAGAAGCTATGAATGAACTGTTGCCAGCCCATGACTAATGATCAATTTGATTATTCTATACTTTCTCTTGCGTTGCATTATGCCAATAAAACCATCAAGCAATTCCCCATATCTGTATCGTTGGAAATAGACTTGGAACCGTTGTGGTTACAGTTAAGCAAAAAAAGCCCGGACTTAAATAGGCCGAGCTCATGTAGTTTCTCAAAAAATTCTTATCTACTTATTAATCGAATTCTAATAAGTCCAAGAGTATATTTTGAAACAAGGAGTGCAATTGCATTGTTTTCTTGTGCGAATTTGTGCATATTGATTTATGATGCAGAAGTTCGAAAAAAATTGATTTTGATTCGAATCTCGAATTAGAATTTGGTCCCGAACGTTCCTTTCCAAAATATCTCCTTTAAAATAAATTAAATAATAATCCGAAATCAGGATGATTCTCATGATAAATCAATATTTTTGATTGAAGGTTTTCATCAGTAAATTGGTGAGATCAGTTTTTTTTAAACAAATCCAGTGGTACAATGTCGAGATCGTCGGGTTATAGTAGTGTGTACAGTGAAGGACCGAAAACATCATCCACGTCATATAGACTTTATGACGTTGTCGAGGAACCGGTAAAGAGCACCATAAATGGTTCTAACAGATGTGCTGATGATTTTACACCAAGAAGGTGGGAGCATGTCGGTTCTCGAGTAAGTGGTCAAGATTTGTTATTGAATATTAGGAAAATATGTTTTTTGCCGCTGTTTTTTGTATATTTGTACATCGTTGAATTCGCTATTAAAAGAGTTATTTAATAGGTACGTTATGTGCTTTTTTTCGGACCATATGAAAAATAAAAGTTGATGATGGTTTATAAGAAACTAAACGATGGAATAAAGTTTCATAGGCACCATCTTCCAGAGCTCGAAAAAAATGCTATGCGAACGTATTTTATGTTTTTTTAATTTTTTTTATTTTAGTTTTTTAATTAACAACTTTTTTCTAATTTAACCGACTTCGTAGGTATTTCTTGCGGTTTCGGAGATTCTCATTTCGGAGATCCTCATGCAACACATCGTTATCTTGGACACCCTGTATATGAGCAAGACACCTATCCGTTATCTTTAATTTTCGTCTGTGGCCGTTAGCTTCGGTTCAATTTCCTTTAAACTTTCATGTTTCTGTTTTTGTACCCATCGCTCTTAATTTTCCATATTTCACGCAATTTTCTCTATATGGAAATGAGTTCGGTACATAATTATTTATGTTGTGGACGTGGTCATAAATACTTGTAAATCGTCCGCAAGGAAGCAACAAACTAAACGGTAAAGTATCAAACAGCACAAAACACTTCACACGCGAAAATTAATGTATAGTCCTTACTTACTACCAAACCACCAAACGTAAAAATTGGGGTATGATCAGCTTATTGCATAAAGTGTTCCTTATTTTTTTCGTGTTTCCTGCATTAATGTTAATTCCGTATCAAATTTTGAAGACTGATTGTGATGAGTAGGTAATTTCGAATTTGAATTTTTTTTTGTGGATCCGCGTGAACCCTGTTTTTAAAAATATGTTTCGCACCCCCCCGTTTCACTAGAGATTAGTAGTCTAGTCTCTGGTTTCACAAAGAAAACGCCGACTTCCCAGATTTAGTTTTTATGCTGGTCCAAGTTGGATAATAAACACTAAACAACATGTGTTGCACAAATTGTTTGGAAAAGTATTGGCCTTCACTGTTCTCTGGCCTTTTGTGCTAAAGGTATTTCTCTGAAGAAGAAATCGGGTATAGCTTCGTCCAGGATCGCCAAACACGCATTTTTGTTTGGGAGTGTTTCTGTCATTGTGAATTAGTTAATGTTTAATTATTTAATGTTATGTGAAGTGATAGTGTGAGATTAGTTATAACGTAAAGTAGGTAAAATTGCTTTATTATGGAGAAATATAAGCTACGAAAGTCAAGTGATTTATGGAATTATTTCACGGTAAAAGACACGAACCAAAAAATTAGCCAGTGCGATCTTTGCAAACGAATCTATAAGGGCACATTATCTAATTTAGCAAAGCACATTAAAAACAACATCCAACTATAACTATAAACGTAAGGGCACATTTGAAAAATATTAAAACACAACCTGAAAGTGAATCTGCGGTTAAAAGTAAGCTACGAAAGACGAGTTACTTATGGAGTTGTTTCACGGTGAAAGACACGAATCATAAAATTAGCCAGTGCGATCTTTGCAAGAAAATATTATGCTTTAGGGGCACAATATCTAATTTAAAAAAGCACATTGACCGA